TGATAAGATTTCGTTAATAAATATTTTCCCCCGGTTGGAAATTAACGGTTTTTGATATTAAACATCTCCTTACATGTTTATATGCAATTAAAATCGTAGTTATCATATTATTATGGCTCAGTTAAGCGCATAAAAATGAATGTTTAATGCCGTTGAAATAAATTATGTATCATAATTGATACGTTGTTTTTCCTGTTAACGTTTAATTGCAACATTTTTTGCATTTCTGAATACTTGGGATAAATGTGCATCATCAATTAGTAATCTTTAACACGACAGGGACTAATAAATTTTACGAAAAAAGTACATAGGTACACTTACCTAAACTGGTTCGTAATTGAAATTCCATGTATAGAGAGACTTGTAATGCTACTTTTCGATCTCGTCCACGGTTAAGCCCGTACGATTTTCTTATTAACAGATCAATAACTTCGATTAATCGCCATGTTTAATATGAATGCAGTCGATAATGGAAATCGTAATTGATCTTTACCGTCACAATAAACCATTTTGTTGTAGTTAACAAGTACCTACGTTTATGTACAGAGTGTTTTCTCTTTTCAATTTTTGATGTCGATTGTGTGAACGTTAGCGTGTTAAATATGTTTGCTATAGTACCAGACATGTGACTTATCTTGCATTTAAATTCTTTTTTGAGAAAAGTATTTTGTACGTTATTAAAAACACTAATTCTTTAACTGAAGAGAGACCAAAAAATTCTAAATTTCTTGGAAATGAATAATCTAAAATATTGGATCGATATTGTTTTCCGGGTTCTATGTCACGGTCCATGGAATTTTGAATTTCCAAATTGATATCAGCACCTGCCAAATAACCACTTATCGTACCTTTAGCAAGAACTACGAAATTCTACGAATAAGGACAAAACAGCTGCTGCAAGTGATACGTCGGTTTGATGCAGGGTGGTGCAGTCCCTGTATCGATCGAGATGAACACGTAGAAGAGAATTGAGAGAAGGTGTGTGACAGTCTTCTAGTAAAGACTTGTTGACGCATCTCTTGTTATTAACAAAAAAATCCAATTAATTGCTAAGGTGCATATGACGCCCTGCTATGATGTTACTTTATACCTGTAAAGACCAAAGGGAGTCAAGGCAGGTATCCTAGGTAACCGAAGATTGAAGACGTAGAAACCGATCCGTACGGAACATTTTGGGGGACGCCGGATAGAGCCACGTGAACCGAAAAAGTGATGGTCAGATCTGATCCGTTTTCTTGTTAATTCATTTAGATTTAGTTTATTTGAGAGTAGTTGAGTTTTCTTTACGTTTTTTTTTGGTTTTTAATTTTTTGAGACAGTTGTAAATTTGGTGATATTCTATTTTGATGTATTATTTTTTTCTCATCCAAAACTCCGCTACCCCAGCTCATGATCATCATCATAAGGTCGTTAGTCTTGAGACTGGTTGGACACATACCTCCACTCTTTCCTATCCTCAGCTAATCTTCGCATTTTCCTAAAACTAGAACAACCCACATCCTTAACTATTTGTGAACAGTAATCCAATCTAGATCTACCTCAACCCCTCCTAACTCCCGTTTCTGCCTCTTAGCGCCGGTGCACACTTGCGGCAATCGCCGCTGCGGCACCGCAATTGCGGCTTAAAGTACTAACAGGTAAATGGGTTAATGCACATTCATCTGCGCGCCGCCGCGGGGCCGCGCGTCCAAATGGCGACCGTTTTGAACCACAGGTCCCTACGAAACCGTGGCGGCACCGCTGCCGCTATTGCGGTTTTGTAGTACTCGTTTGTATATCGGCTGGTACACACTTGCGAAAGAGTCAAAAACAGGTCTGCATGGATTACAATCTGTGAAATGTTTTCCGATGAATTTTTGGGGCTGGATGACAAGGAGAAAACATTTCTAGTGGGATTATGGAGACTCTTAATCTGGTATCTTTTGCGATCTTATCCTAACAGAAGCTTTTGCTATTAATTCATCAGATGAAGCAACACTCCTTCGAAAGTAGTTGAAAAATTAGTCAGGATTCTCCCTTAAATACGAAAACGACGTTACAAATGTGCCCCTCGTAAGCCGTAAATCGGTATATGGGTCTACCCAAAATCGTCTCGTTTTTTTTTTNCTTACCTAAACTGGTTCGTAATTGAAATTCCATGTATAGGAGAGACTTGTAATGCTACTTTTCGATCTCGTCCACGGTTAAGCCCGTACGATTTTCTTATTAACAGATCAATAACTTCGATTAATCGCCATGTTTAATATGAATGCAGTCGATAATGGAAATCGTAATTGATCTTTACCGTCACAATAAACCATTTTGTTGTAGTTAACAAGTACCTACGTTTATGTACAGAGTGTTTTCTCTTTTCAATTTTTGATGTCGATTGTGTGAACGTTAGCGTGTTAAATATGTTTGCTATAGTACCAGACATGTGACTTATCTTGCATTTAAATTCTTTTTTGAGAAAAGTATTTTGTACGTTATTAAAAACACTAATTCTTTAACTGAAGAGAGACCAAAAAATTCTAAATTTCTTGGAAATGAATAATCTAAAATATTGGATCGATATTGTTTTCCGGGTTCTATGTCACGGTCCATGGAATTTTGAATTTCCAAATTGATATCAGCACCTGCCAAATAACCACTTATCGTACCTTTAGCAAGAACTACGAAATTCTACGAATAAGGACAAAACAGCTGCTGCAAGTGATACGTCGGTTTGATGCAGGGTGGTGCAGTCCCTGTATCGATCGAGATGAACACGTAGAAGAGAATTGAGAGAAGGTGTGTGACAGTCTTCTAGTAAAGACTTGTTGACGCATCTCTTGTTATTAACAAAAAAATCCAATTAATTGCTAAGGTGCATATGACGCCCTGCTATGATGTTACTTTATACCTGTAAAGACCAAAGGGAGTCAAGGCAGGTATCCTAGGTAACCGAAGATTGAAGACGTAGAATCCCGATCCGAACCGCACATTTTGGGACGCCGGATAGAGCCACGTGAACCAAAAAAGTGATGATCAGATCTGATCCGTTTCCTTGTTAATTCATTTAGGTTTAGTTTATTTGAGAGTAGTTGAGTTTTCTTTACGTTTTTTTTTGTTTTTAATTTTTTGAGATAGTTGTAAATTTGGTGATATTCTATTTTGATGTATTATTTTCTTCTCATCCAATACTCCGCCACCCTGGCCCATCATCATCATCATAAGGTCGTCAGTCCTAAGACTGGTTGGACACATACCTCCACTCTTTCCTATCCTCAGCTAATCTTCGCATTTTCCTAAAACTAGAACAACCCACATCCTTAACTATTTGTGAACAGTAATC